TCTTTATAATGCTTCTGGTTGAAATCATCACATTAGGCTTGATAGTATCCATCCTTCTGCTTGACTGGACTAGTGCCAGTCTAACAAAAGGGGACATGAGGAAACACAGACAAGGTTAAAAAATGCAGATGGGCCACAGTGTCTGACTGTTTCATGGGTTGCCTGGATAAGATTGCCCTCACACTCAGACGGGAACTCAATCTCTGCTTTCAAGGAGATCTTTTCAACTAAAAGGGTCAAAAGATTTGAAGCGCTATGAAATACGGTGAAGTCTCATCTCTGTACTATCAAATCTGTCCCTACCTTATCAGTGGCAAAGCAGAGTAACAACAACTACTTAAAATGCTGTAGGTAAGAAAGGGAACAGGAGACATCGGCTGTCAAGATGAAATGTAAAATACTGAGTCCTGGCATCCAAAACAGGGAATACATAATAAGGGAAGATGATAGACTTTAAGTCCATTGGCTGAATAATAACAGTAATAGACAATAAGAGGAATAGAATAAAAGAATTATTGCTGCTGTATTTCAAAAATACTGAGCTGGTTTAGACATTGTTTTTTTCTCATTGTTTTGATATGCCTGCTTTAGAATTCCAGCTACAGTATTAAAATATGATCCACAGGTCATGCATTTGTGTACATTTATGATCTGTTTATTAAACGAACACTTGCCTTTGCACTGGCAAACCATGCCATATGTATATGTATTTCTTGCCCAGCACCAAAGTGTTTATGGATAAAAATACCCATTTTATTTTTAAAGGAAATGTCATGTCCCTGTATGCATGTATAAAATTTGCCGCACTGTCATATATAAGCCATTTCATACACAGTCAGAACCTTTTAACTGTATTACGCACATTACTCAGTTTCCTACATGAACCACACTGCAGTGCCTGTTGCAAAACATCAGTGTACAAAACTATAAACTATACTTGTGTGTCTCATGTGAGAGGTGCTATCTTTGTAAATATTCTAAAGCCCAAAGTTACCAGGCTGCTACCATAAAAGCAAACATGACAACAGACAGATTCTCAAAACTTTTGCTGCTTGTGTGATGATGTTTGCCTTTGAATCCTTTCTGCCTCACATACAACCAAGATTTGTACCTGGGAGATCACCCACAGCTTTTTAATGCTGGTGACGGCTTGGCCCCACTGGGCATTTGGAGATGGAGCTGATGGATGGGAGGGTACAGTGGGCTATCAATTTGCTTGAATAAACTTCCCCCCAGCAAGTCTTGAATTTGAAACAGTGTTTTTGTTTTTCCCTGCTTTACCAAACATTTGGCCAGGGGTTTTTTATCGGGCAGACATAAGTAGACAAATTTTATGAATTTCAAATTCATTTTAATATTCAGACATTTTTTCCAAAGATAAAATGTGCTGGGGTGACAGTTTTGATTATAGGATTTATGGCTATCCAAACTTTTTGAACAGGTTTTAAAATGAGACTCTGGAGAGTAACAGTGAACTTTAATATGATTGGTCAGCAGACAGAAAAGGACAAGAGTCAGTGTTCTGCATTTTCCCATTTCTGACAAATAGATTAAAAAAGACCGCTTACGCTGTAGAAAATTAAGAGCCATATAACAAGACTGGTTATAAAAGAAACTTATGCTAAAACCTCTTTATGGGGTTTTAAAAATTCCTCTTTGCAGGAACAAACAGTTGCTGCAAGTCAGATATTAGAGATCTGAGGCCTAATGCTTTCAAATTTGGTAATCCTTCAGATGAAGCATCAAAAAGCTCTGCTATAACATCTTCAGCCCCTGAATAATAGATATAGAACATAGCTCAAATGCACCAGAAGCTGTGTTATCCATTCATTAACAGACCATATTCAATGCTGCTAAAAGCTTTTCATCACTTACATTTGATTACTGACCCTTTTTATTCTTTGTAATCCCTGTAAATGTCCTTAATCTATTAGGAACTATATGAAATGATGTACCCAGGCATACACTGAATTGCCCACGGAGACTACTTTTCGAGACTGTGTGAGGTGGCTCAGGGTAAAGTATGGACCTAAATACCGTATGTATGTAGTTTGTTTTAAAAAGATTGCTGTCTACTTCCAGTGCCCACTGTTTTCATGGTTCTGGGTCTTGGACCCTGATTCTGTTTGATTTTTAGTTCACTTTCATACTTCATACTTGAACATGATTTTGTATTCTGAGTCTTAAGCTCTTAGTTTCAGCTTCGATTTTTTTCTTATAGTTTTTGTCGACCATGTGTTGTCTCTAGCTTTACTTCTTGTCTTTTACCTTAATTGTGTTCAGCTATGGTTAGTTTCACTCCTGTTTCAATTCCCTTGGTACCTCATGTGTATTTACAGTATAGCTTCAGTTTGCATATTGTGCATCTGTTCTGTCATTCCTAGTGTTCCCTATGTGATTTCCCTACTTCATTCCTGGAATTCCAAGTGTTTGAGTTTATCCTTTGGATTTGAGACTGTTTTTCCTCAGTTTTTGGATTCATTTCTTTTGATTTTTTTTTTTTAATTTAATCAGAGTCAATAATAGCTCTGCCACTTCCACATACTCCCAGCCTATGCTCGGTGTAACGTGCTACTGTAATCCCACAACATTTTTCAGTAGTTCAGTAATGTAACACATTACTGTTGTAAATTTAGCGATAAATACAGTAGTTACAGTTATTATTGTTGTTACGTGCGTTGTAACGGTGCTTCAGTTATCTGCAAGGTGGGCAGATAGAAAAAACAGATAGACAGAGAAAAAAATCTAGCTTTGTTTCCCCCCTAAATTTTGCTTCTTTTCTTCCTCAGCACTTGAGTTAATCACTTGATTTCCGTTCCTATGCAGGGAGAAGGAAAATAACAAGTGGTCTACAGCTTTTGAGGAGTGGAGATATGGTCATTACGTTTATTTTTACTGCACAAAATACCGTGATGGTGAAATCCAAACTGCACCCAAGGCAAACACCTACATAACACCGCTAACAGAACTTCGGCTGGTTTTCAACTTTGCTTTGAGTTCTCGGTTTTGTATTCGTCCACAAAGAAAGATCACGTTTAGCCTCAGGTTTATATTGTTAACTGGTAATTTTGTAACAGTTACATTTCAGATAGTTTTTTTTAATTGATCCATATGACATTAGTATTGGCATATATATAGCCATGTTTCTAAAACTAATAATAAAAAGAGCAGCAGCTAAGCTGACTTTAAAGGTGACATCTATGGTTACCTAAATTTATTTCCCACAAAAATATGATTCACCTTCAAAGAGGCACGCTTAGTATTTACTTTTGTCCTCTGGAAACTCAACCTTTTGCAAGTAGGATAATGGAGAGTGTTTGCTCCAAGAGATGTCAGCTGAACAAGCGTTATCACAGCTCCCTGCTGCACAATCCAGCTTCAGTTGCCTTACTGCTATAAAGACAACTGAAACATTTGCCCAAAGTACTGCTCTACCGGGAACAGGACTGTGCCGGAGCGCTTTGTGTTCAGCAATAACATTTATATTATAGCCAGTGTATATCTAAAGAGCAAATCTGTGTGGGTCACTAAAGAAATAATAAGAAAACTGTGTATAAATCTTTTTAACCAATCTCACGAACATTTTACCACCGCTAGGAAGTGCTAGTGTTAGCTGAACCTAAACCTATTTAATCTAAAGAAAGATAATTTCAGCATCAGATCTGTGTGATGGAGGTACTTTACCTGCCTCAGGCCGTCCTTGCTGTTCTGCATGATCCTCAGGGCATAGTTAGACCGCTGTCCTTTGCTGTTGAATTCAATGTGTCCTGTTAGACCTTCCAATTCTACCTATCCAACAAAGAGACGGCACACATGTTAAAAGATATCCCGTCTGCTTCCCTCTCGGCGGTACCTATTGTGAATATGACTTGAGGTTACTTTACTGCTGCTGTCTCTGTATGAGCCGCCTGAGCACTATTTGTCATATTTAAAATAAGAATATGGAGACAAGCTGGTAACAGCTTCAATTTAGGGCAAAAAAGAAGAGTGATTAGTTGTGTCCTCTTTCTCAGAGTGAGAAAGACAAATGGTCTGATATCGAACACGTGTCACATTTAAGTATTTCAGTCACTTACAGTCATTTCGCCCTAACAGGAAAACACATTTTGTTCCCTGACAGCACATCTTTATCTCTCCTCCTCCACTGTGTCTCAGTATAATGTAGAGATGAGATAAACTGACCTAGTCGATAGGAAGCATATCGTTAAAGAAGAAGACAGCACGGACATTATCTGCTGTCGGTAAAAATATCTAGACTTTAAAATATCCAATTAGCACGCAAAGAAAGATAGAAGAAAAGCAGTAATGAAGAGCTCAACAAGTATTATCGGACAAGCTACTTTTTGGGGACAGCCTCAGTGACTTCCAGGAGTTTCTGATGCTTGTCAAGAGTTGACGAAACAAAATTTGTGAGCTTTAGAGTTTTGGCAGTACTTCTCAATGTATTACAAAACTGTCATATGTTTACTGACAGCAGATAAAAGTGAATATTAGAGGTGCTGGTACATGAATTTTGTTAAATTATTGGACAGAGCCACCTAGCTGACTGATGACCGTACCAATGCCCTTTCCTAACTCTAGGAAAGAAAAAAATCCAGATTTTTCCAAAATTTTCAAGCATTCCTTGAAACGAAGCTTGGACAGTCTTGTAATCTCAATCATTCTCCAGCAGAAGCAGCCTTACCATCCTCAGGTAATTCATGAGGCTGGTGCCGTGCTCCCAGATCTTGGAGGACTTGCAGGAGAGCTGAGTGGCTCCGACGTTCTGGCTACGGTTCAACTCCTGGACCGCCGCCACCACAGCGTATACCGCATCAAAGAGCAAAGCTGACGAGAGCTGCAGAGGCAGAGGGAAGGAGGCAGGTGAATGTATTATGCATACTCACACACACACACACACACACACACACACACACACACACACACACACACACACACACACACACACACA